TTATGTATATTTGGGTTGAGGTCTAAAGTTACTAGTTATACTCCTGAACCATTGATCCATTTTGTTTGTCCATAGTTATGGGGCAGAGGACAATTTCATAGAAAAGATACTCAACAGTTTGCAATCCCTACCACTCATGAACTGAATATACTGAGCTATATCTTACCTCATTGGAGAAGAGTTAAAACCAGAAGGCACTATTTTTGCTGGTGAATCCAGCTTGGATAATCTAGGTTGAGCATCTATGCGATAACTTGAGTGATTTTCCTGAATGCCAAGATGAAACAGCAATTACTATAGAAGAGGTGGCTAAGGTACACTGTAGGCATTGGAACAGATGAAGTGAATAAACATTAGCTATTACTATGTGATGAGGTCAAAGATTAGTAATGCGAATTTTCATTGCCCTTCTTCATATTAACCTCCCATGATCTCCAGAAGTGTCTGTCTTTATTAGAGAAGAAGGAGGCAGTGAACGACAAAACCCACACACTGCTAGGAGAGGACTGTCAGAGGTGAGAAACAAGTAGAGAAAGGAAAACCTAGTGACTGAATAGCTTTGTTTGATAACATAGCAGGGTATGCTGGTTAATGTGCTGCCATCCATTCTGGAGACAGTGATGGAGCACTATGGTTCACTATATTTCCATTTTACTAGATGCAAGTAAAAAGTCTGAAGCCCTATTTTCAAAGATTTGGGGTGTGTGTGTGTGTGTGTGTGTGTGTGTGTGTGTGTTTGTGTGCATGTCTATCCATGCGATGAGAAGGGAATGCTGGATCCCCTGGGGATGAAGTTATAAGTGTTTGTGAATTGCTGGTACCACAATTCACATACTCTCTGAAAGTAGCAAGTGTGCTTAACCTCTGAGTCATTTCTCCAGCCCAAAACTCACAGTTGTTTTTCTTTCTTTCTTTTCTTTCTTTTTTTTTTTGCTACTGAATCATACTTTCCTGAAAATAATTTCCTGTTGATTGCCCATACTGTTGTAAAACTCAAAGGGATAAAAATTAATCTGTGATACTAGTCAGTTCTATTATAGGTAGAGATACAGCCTCTTAGAAAAGTCTACCCCTCACCCCACCCTTCACCTTACCCCTCACCCCACTCTAACTTCATTCACACTCTGGAATTTGTAGCCATCAGTGGACTGCAGAAACATTTTTGTCTAAACTATTTGGTCCAAGCAGGATCCCAGAAAAATAATAAGCAAAATGAAAGCCTAGATTGCATATTGAGGTAGACTGTCTTATGCATGAACATAACAACTTGAAAGATTGAGCATCCTGGTATGCTGATTGACCATCCTGGTATGCTGGATATGTCATTTAGTAGGATATTGTATTGGATTACTCTTGATAATTCCATGTTTTATCATTCTCAAGCGCCAAGGACTTGTTTGTCTATGTTGGCCTCTTATGACCTTGCAATTGAAAGCACATTCTAGAAATGTAACACAAAGAAAAGGGAGAAGAGAGCTGCATGATCCAATAGAAGCAAGGACTAGAAAGAAAAAGTAAAAGTTTTCTTTTCTCACTTATTTTGATTCACTGACTGTCTTTTGCTGGCAAAATGAGGATGAACATACTCAAATATGTTCATATTCAAATATTCAGTCTTAATGCTAAAGAAAATCTGTGGTCATATCAATTGGAGGGTAACTGAAGGAGGATGGGCAAAAAAATTCATTGCTGTTAATGAGGTCCCCTCCCCATGGGGGTCCAGACTAAATCCCTCAAGCTGAATTTCAAGGCTACCTCTTACCCGAAAATTTTTTTAACGAACCCATGAGTCTTTGTCACTAGAAGCTGTTTGTGTGAAGGGCAGACCTGTTCTGTAGCTGGTGGAGTAGGTTTTAAGAGGCATAATTTACAGACTAGAGCATAGGGCAAACAGGAAGCCTTGTCCCATCTTGTCTGCCTTTGCTGTTCATGACTATCAGCGGTTGTCCAGTGGCTGTATTCATAGTGGCTTTTAAAAAACGCTGGTGCCAAAATCTCCCTTGACAGTACATCTGTAACTACTAATAATGTTGTTTTGGGCAGACTCAGTTGCTTTGAAATTGCACTGCACTGTGATAAGTAAATGAGAGGCAACCAATTATCTATAAAGTAAAGACACACACAGAGGAGAATGTGATGAATTACAAATGATCTCTCTGAAACAACACAGTGTGGAAACCTGTCCTGCTTTGACTTCCCATCAAAGTAGGGAGGTGATGTTTGCATATCTAACAACATAGATCCCTCAGTTGCAGCGGGGAGGAGGCGATGGCAGCATCATTCCCCACTGGTACACATGTTGTTGAATTAAAATTAGAGAGGCAGCAAATCCGAGTGTTAAATATCTGCAGAGAGAATCATCACAATTAGGAAAGGAGGCAAGGCTAGGATAAGAGATGCAGATCTACTCTCACATGACAAAGTCCATCCTGGAAATCAGCTTAGTGTGCAGGGAACCAACGCATACATTCATAGAGGCAGAGAGGAGACACTGAATTCCTGGAACTAAAGGAGTCCAGCCCCATTGGGGATCTGTCAAGCAGGTATCCACAGAGCTATAGCGTCATACAGCAACCAGTGAGCACCTGCCTTCACTGGCACAGCAATAGCAGTGTCTGCTTTTCATGATTGCCCAAGATAGTCTGACCTAGTTGTGTTCTGGTTGGACAAAGAGATAAAGAAGGAGACTAAATCACCATATCCCTTGCAGGAGCTTATGGGAGGACACTGAAAATTTCTCTAAATGAGTAAGCTAATGTTGTTGCCTTGATGGCTGCCAGAGGCTGAGCATGCATGTGTGGTTTTAGGGAATTTTTAATTGTATGGTCCTAACAGTTCCAGAGATTATGCATAAAGAAAACATGGAGCGGGGTTTCTACTTTATAAGACAACCTTATACAAGGGCATGTCATTGCCTATACTAGTCCTTTGTTCTATAGATGCAGGGTGTCTTAGCTGTAGGTGCTCACATTCTTCTCTGAAATTCTTTGGAGGCTAACATAGACTCTCAGCAAGCAGAATGGTCAGGAAATTCACCTAGAAGCTTATTCTCCTAGGGAAAGCAGTGATTTTTCATAAACTTAATCAGCTGGGACACAGTAGGACCTCTTGTATCCAGGTGCAATAAAGTGTCCAAGGAATGAAGCTGGTTTTTTTCCTATGGATGTTATCTTCTCCACATGCTGGGAGGAGTAGGTCTGGGGTCAGCATACTCTTCCATTCAGATCATCACTGTTGATTGTCATTACTATTAATGACATATTAAATATCTCAGAGATTACTTTATTACAATATTTCTAAATATATCAAGCAGGGAGTTGCAGGGTCGCGGTTTAGTGATGGAATTCAAGCCAAAGTACGACTGGCCTCACTTTCTAGAAGATGGAATGGAGCTTGATGCTGGCAGCCGCAGATAAGCAACTACAGAGAGCTGGCACTTCGTAAGCACTGCACCTCTTTTCTATTCCTGCTTATACTTCTAATTAGACACGGTGTTTGCTTTTACACTGAGGCCAAGACACACAGCTTAAGATAAATGTGCTGCAGTGCAAAAAGTGAATCAGGGCGATCAGAGGTAAGCAGTGTCCTAAGGGTTACACAAAGAGAAGAGAAGTTATGAGAATTCACAGGGCAAGGGAGGGAGGAATGAGGCTAGGCAAGCATTGAACCCACCCAAGGTCATATTACTTGGGCACATGGCCAGGTGGTAGAGGAACAAGGAAGGACAGCAGTCTAGTAGGAATCAGCATAGTTTGGAGCAAACGCAGTTGTGAAACTGGGGGGAGCACTTTGGTCCTTACTACCTCACCCAGGGGTTAGTGAACTGGATAACAATGGAATTCAGCAGCAGAGGAAAGTCCCTTTCCAAGGAAACCAGAGGGGCTACTAGATAGGCAAAGAGCATGAAGGACTCCTTGAGGGACGATGTAGGAGCTGGGAAAGGAAATAGGCGGTGGCTGGAAGAGAGTAGTGTAACAACGGAGAATGACACCGTTGGGCTGAATTGTTTTGTTGGCATTGTGAATATTGTCACTCCTAAACAAATTATCATGGCTGAGCCTGGGTTTTATAATAGGATACTTTGTGTGTGTGTGTGTGTGTGTGTGTGTGTGTCTTCTCAGTAATGACTGATGACTGTCATCTCTCTCAGGTCCCCATCCTATGTTCAACTGTGCCTCTTGTCAATTTCAAGATTTTGCAGAGTAGCAACAGAAAAAAAATCACAAAACCTGAGACTTTAAGTACTTGCAACAAGTCACTAGAGGGGACAGCACTCTGGGTCATTAAGTAATTAACATATTTTAAAAACAAGGCAGGGGAAAGAGTGACCAGTTAATACATGTGTCTTTGAGCTTCCTTGCATCGTATCAAAGCAGTATTCATCAGTTTTCTTTTAACCTGCAGGGGGTCCTGTCTAAGATCTCCAATGGTGCCCCAAACTAGAGACAGTACCCAATACTCCATATACTTTATTCTGTAATCTGATAAAGGTTAATATATAAAGTTTAGTGAGATATCAACAATAAAATAAGCCAATAATAACAACGCATATTAGTGAGAGTCATGTGAACGACTCCAAGTGCCAGAGAGATTGATGTCACCCAGATGGTCCATAAAGGCTGGCCACCCTCCTGGCTGAGCCTATCAGGGCCTGTAGCCTCCCTGGCAATCTGGTCAGTTTGGACACTCAGGAATGCTCTCTTTATTGATAAATTACTTCTATCTGTACCAGTCACCATAGGCTCCTAGTCTATCCAATTCTTTGTTTCAGGACACAAGAACCTGGAAATCTCGGAGCTTTCTCTCTGGACTCCTATCCAGTGGCAAGAAGCAGATAATAAAACCCACATGGGTCAAGACTGTCTTCACATAGCTTCCAGGTCCTTTGTAGTTCCCTGGGGGAGACACTGGTGCTACTTTTCTGCCTCCTCAGAGCCATCACCTTTCATTCCCAGAGGCCCACCAGAGGTCTGGGTGAAGGTGAAGAACTTGATGTTTACCTGAAAGTAGACACGCAGCTCCTCAGCTTCCGCAGCCATCTCCTCCTCAGATCTCCAAAGGGCTGGGGAGTCCTCTTCTTCTTTGTCATGTTTCTGGAGCTTTGGGGGAAAATAGAATAGGCTCATTAAAGAATCCCTGAGATCCTGAATAATGTTGGGGAAAAGGGAGAGAGTGAAAATAATTTGCAAATTAGAGGCCCGTAGGTGTATCTTAATTACATTAATTGCCCAATTTTGAAAATAAAGAATTTCACATAAGAAGTGACATTCCTTGCTTCTTTAATAAAATAACAAGATCAGGCTGCACTGGTGTTGTTGCTGCCTCATGCTTGCCTGATAAGAGCAAGTGCCTGGGACAGACGGAGGCTGTGTAAAGGGAGAGCTCCTGAGGGCAGCACCCCACCATTCCATGCAGCCTCCATCGCCCCTCATTCTCTTTTGACTGCCAGTGCCATTTAATTATTGGTTTCTTGACTGAAGCTGTCTGCCATTCTCCTCCATTCGGGCCTGCGGTTTCTCTCTCACTCTCTCTGGCTTAACTGTCTTTTATGTGCTCCAAGTCGCTGTGTGTGCCCTGACAGGAAGACATTCTGAGCTGAGACATCCAAGTCCCTCCCCTTTGAATATCAGACTATTTATTGGAACAAGTGGACGCTTAAAAAACAGAATTTCCCAGCAGCCCTGTGCAGGGAAAGACTGAGGCCCTGGTCCACACAGGGGAGGAATTAGTCAGTTTTCCGACATGCTGACCGGTTAACAGTTGCACACTTTCTGACTTTTCATTCATGTTTTCTATAAAGCTGTAACTGTCACAAAGGAAGTAGAGAGAAACTGAGTCTTTCTTTCTAGGTCTACATAAGCTGTAATGAATTCATTTTCTATTCTCAGTTTGCTTTTTAATTTTGTTCAAGAACTATCAGGTTTATGAATCTAAGTATACCTGTAACAATAGAAACTATAAGAAAGTAGCACAGGAAATTAACAACTTAGTCAATTTAGTTCCTCTATAGACCATTCTCTCTCCATGTATAAACATATATATATAATACATATTCACATATATAATACATATGCACATTTATTTATACATATAATTATTCAAATATATCTGTTTGTGAGCAAATATATGTTTAAGGTTTCTGCAGAGAGAACAACATGTCTATTCTATCAGAGAACAGGTTTTCAGTAGTTTAATCTCTCTCTTAATCTCCTATTGCAATTCATTTCCATCATCACTCTGCCATCCTGTGGCTTTGTATGTCAGTAATAAGCTGAAGATGCAAAACTGCTCATAGGATGCACATGTAATGATTCACGTCGAGGTGACTAGATAGATGGCCAAATAGCACTTGGTGACTGACATCATTTATGACTTGGAGGGCAGCTTCTCTGAGGCTCATATTTCATATAATCCTTACAGTTTTCCTACTTAATTCCTTTCACCCTGAAGGAAACTGGGTGTGGGGGGGGATGTCCCTCAGGAAAGTCATTTACTTCTCCAGGTAGGTACTGCCAGCATTGTCCCCAGCCAGCTTCCTTTATCTTGGAGAATCTGTACAAACGGGCAATTCCATAGTTACTGCCCTCATCTCACTGCATATGTACTCACTTTTGGATACTTTGAAAACCACCTTGAGAGTTCTGAAAAACGTGCTGACCAGGTTGCTCAATGAGTAAGGTGTAAACATACAAGCTGATCCCTGGAAACCATGGCAAAACCATGGCTGTCTTCTGACCTTCACACACATGCTGTGGCATGTATCCCTAACCCCACCACACACGTGTGTACGCACACACACACACACACACACACACACTCCACAATACTGATAAATAAAATTTTCAACTGAAAGAGTAATATTCATTTTCCTGGGCCGCAAACCCTCATCCTAGACTCCACCCTGGCAGCCTGCAACAGGCAGAGACTTTCCCCCATTTATCTCAGAGCAGCTTTGATGTGGAAGGCAAAATAGTACAGGAAAGATAGCCTTGCTTTCCAGCAGGGCTGTATTTCTACACTCAGGAAGGCTGTGCCTAAATGAGGCTCATTAACATAGAACGAGGCCACAAATATCTTTATGAGGGTCATGGATCTTCCTTTCAGAATTTGGCTGCCAGCAAACTGGTTTTCCATTTTGCCATACAGATTTAATTCTTCTTAGTGGAAGAAATGCACATTAAGAAGTCATTTCCTTGCTCGTAGAAGCAGATATGACGCAGTTGCTACAGGCGAGTCAAATGGGATTGCTATTCTACCCGAGAACTAATTTTCATTTTGCTACTACCTTTGGGTCTGTTATAAATCCATCTTGTAACAGTTTGATGAGAAAGACAAGGAGTAAGGCAAAAGCCAGAGAACGTGGCCTTCCCACTGTGGTGTTGCCGTGGGAAGACACAGAAATCACGCTTTAAGCAGCCTTGTCAACACAGACCATGCCAGATGATTCCAAATAATTTTGAGGCTAAGGACATTAATGCTTCCTGGTTATTAGGCACCCTTCTGTTGGTGTCATATGCCTTACAGATGGCAGCACTTAGACATTGTTTACGGGAACTAGGGAACCAGTAGAATGAACTAAACATATTTGCAAAGTTCCGTTGAACATAACTGTTAACAAAACTTTTGAGGTTTCCTCTTATAGGCCCCAGTTGGAAGCTTGTGGGTTTTTTTTAAAGACAGGTGAACCCTGGATTCCTGTTGTACTCACTAGAGAAACTCTAAAAGACACAACTTACACACCACGGATTCTGACTGAATACTTAGAGATTTTGAAAAAGAAAAAAAAATCCACAACTGTTGAGGGGAAAATGTCTGTGTATGTACGTAAAGGTTCTTACATGAACAGAAGTAAATCTGTCAATATGTGCCAGCAACTTTTCATAGGGTACCAAAATCCACAGTTGTTCCAGTCTCAGATATAAAATGTTTTATACAAACATATTTATATGTATGTATATATATACATATATACATAGTGCTTGCATATAACCTCTGCATATCATCTTTCCCACCTGTAAGTTGTTTATAAATCCCAATACAACACAAATGATGTGACAATAATCATTCTGCTTGTGTTCAGTAGAGATACCCTTTATTTTCTGCTATTTTTCTATCAGTGGTTGCTTGAACCCTTAGATGACAACCCATAGACCCAGGGCCCAGTTTAATTTACTATCTGTAAGCCTATTTCTCAGGCCCTTTCAACTGTATCACATGTGTCCTTTGCCAACCCCACTGCAGTGTGGTTTTCTTCGTTTAGTGTAAGTCAAAGGTGCTCCTGGGTGGCAAGATCTGTTGAAGTAGCATGATGATGCTAACTAGTTCAGGAGTTTGCAGTCTCTTCAGGAACTGCATGGTTTGGATAGCACAGGAGGGCAAAATTTCTGCTCTAAAAGAGTCATGGTGGAGACTAGAAAATTAAACCGGCATAATTTTGTGTAAAAATTCTGAGGTTAGCTAAGAGCATGGTTACAGTACTCCATTCCAAGGCTAAAAAAGTCAAGTTCTATAGTCTTAAGTAATAGTTTACTCCCAAAGCCAGTTTGGCTTAAATGAACCTTAGTTAGGAATTTCATTTGCAAATAAATGACTTTAAGCTGCAAGAAGGGAAAGGCAATGCCCTCCTACTATCACATCCAATAGATAATCTGTCCCTGCAGTGCCAGGAACCCTTTCTCTGGCAGTACAAGGCACCCACACAGAGAAGACAGTCACTAAGCAGTTGCTTGCCAGTGCTGTGGGATTGCCAGATGGAAAGGAGGTGGGTCCAGATCACCTTGTTGCACAGCTTCTAGAGTCAACTAGATTTCACCAAGCAACGGTGAAATAGCAATGATAGCCAGTCAGGGCAGCACACACCTTTAATCCAGGTCTTGGATAGATCTTTCTGAGTACCAGGCCAACCAGGGCTACATTGAGAGACCCTGTTTCAAAACACAGAAGAGTGATGGGAGAGAGGTGTTATCTAAGGAATATCCAACAAGAGCTCCCCAGGTTGATAAAGTACAGTCTATGATTCCTCTGCCTCCGTTTCCCTCTCTGTAGAATAATAGCAGGGGGAGACTTGTCTGCAGTGCCTAACACAGGAAGGGTTCCTGTATTTGCTGTGACTTCTGGCTGTTGCTACCATTACTATTATTAGTGTAAGGCTGGATACACTGTCCTAATAAGTGACCATTGACCACCCCAGCAAGTTGCTTCCAAGAATCAAAGAACTCTGCCTGCTTTTATGGCTCTCTAGTGGTATTCCAGTTCTGGCCCTATCTGCCCCACCAAAGATGGAAAGTTATGGTCAGAACTGAAATCCTTGCCAATTAATTATAATGGCACAGCACATCTAAAACAGGTCTTAGATCCTTCATTTCTATAATGATACATAGTTATCCACGTTGCTGCGAAGAGGAGTGAGTCATGAGCAGAGACTTATTACAGGAGCAAAATCAGCATCCTAGAGTGAAAACATGGGGTGAAGGTCAAGTCAATCCACATGACCATCAGGGCATGCCTGTCCATGTGTCCATGTGTGCCTATGTGCTTCTGTGTGCATGGGTGCTTTTTTTGTGCACATGGGAAAGCCGGTGGTCAATGCCAGGTGATTTGCATTATCACTATATTTTCTAAAACTCTCTCCCTGAACCTGAATCCCGTTGATTCACACACTGGAATTGAGAGTACAGGTGGACAGTGCCAGCCCAGCTTTTCCCATGGGGGCTGGGGACCAAATTCAGACCTTTGTGTTTATGCAACAAACTCATTAACACATGCCATTTTCCAGCCCTAAGTATATTTGCTAGTGAAATCCAAATTTAAATGGCTTCTACATTTGATCCGGCAAGTTACCTTAGGAGACCCTTAGGAAGTCGCCACAGGAAGACCATGAACTATAGCTGGTAACCGGGTTGTTCCCAAACCTGTTTAGCTGTGGACTCTTGTGGGGGCGGATTGCACAAACATCAAATTTGAGAATAGAATGAGATGTACCCTCTATTGCTACTGTTATTGCTGTGTGGAGTCCTGCACAAATCATAAGCACTATTCTAATTCTCTAGTGCATCGATGACAAGATGTGCACTTCTTTACATTTTAACATCTTGGAAAC